TATACATATAGATATATATCTATATACATATCAATTTAACAGTCAGGAGAGAAGAGAATATACAGTCTAGTGTCTGGAAACCTAACAATATTGTGTGCGTGGGCCCCTGTCCCTCCGACACATTACACTGATTTCATATTGCACCCTGGGAACCTAGCTTATTTTCTTGGTTCATGTCTAAACAACTATGACATGCTGAAGAGGAAGAGTTTCTCAACATCTTTTTTTTCTTTTACACTTGCCTGGTTGTTCAAAGAACGAAGAACCCATAAACATTGTTTTTTATTCCAGAAAGGGTAGCTGTTCTGAAATTGCAGTGTGGGTAGTTTATCTTATCTGGTATGTCAGGTGCAATTTGTGCTTAAAGGGGTCATGATTGATAGTTTAGGAACGACCAAAAGCAAAACTATCTGAACTGTATAGAAAGATGGTAGTCTTTTACAAAGCATCAGCTTTAGCCAGGGTCTGGTCCCACTTCTAAAGCAGAGCGTATGAACTATCACGGGTCCCTATCATTATAATAGAACTCATGAAGATCGCTCTACATCTTCACCGATTAGAAAGTAGATGGGGGCAGTGCATAGTTGGGAGATTCCATTTTACCAGGTTGGGTTGGGGGATGAATCTGCTAGATAAACTGCTGTAAATTGTGGCCACCCCTTTTACTTTACTTAACTTTTTTTTTTATTGGGCATTGATTTTTTTTACAAAAACATGGAACACAACATTTTTAAGTGTCTTGTAAACCAGTGGGTAATGAATTAGCAATATTGTTTTTAAAAAAAAAGCATTGTTGGTATGTTTTAATTTGGGGATTTTTGTTTTATTGTGACCATGACCCATAAACTTATGTCATAACTGTCAGTGTTGTTTTTTTTTTTTGTTACGCTGGTTTTTATTGTACTTGTCCACTTTGCCATGTCTTTATCTCCCTTTTGTTCTAACAGCACTTTTTCATTTAAGTGTCATATCCACTCACCCTGTCATTGTGCCCGTGCATCAGCAGCGATGGGCATGCTAAGTTTGAGAATTATGCATGACTTCTCTGCACTCTGAGCATTTGTGGATCAGAATGGAGCCATGTTGTGTCACCTGCTAAATGTTTGTCACCATTGTCTCCAATCTCTCATCTAGCTCCCAGACCAGCCAGCCTTGATAGTGGCAGGACATCCCTTAGTAATAGTAATAATAATGCTTCACTCCATGAAGTGACAGGTATGCTGTAGACATTTTGTATTATTCTTTGTGCCATGTGCATTGATGTTGTTAAGTCAACCATTTCCCTCTTTAGGCTTATTTATTAGTATCATACAAGAAAAATGAGAATTTGCATAGCGCAGTATTCTGTAGCAACCTTCTGTGTGATGAAATAAGTAAAATTGAATACTGATTGGTTGGTGTACATCACTGAATTTTGCTTTTCAAAATCGCCTTGTTTCACCTGTGGTGTTTGCCGTTTGTGTGTGTGTTTTGTTAAAGACAAAGTCAACTCTTTGCAAAAAATCAATAAATACACAATAATAAAATAAAAAAAATGTGCATTTCTTGATTATTTGCATTGTAGACTGCAAAGCATTGCTACCATGATCAGTAGATGGTGGATGCAAGGCATTGGCTCCTGCAGACTGTTCCTCCCAGTCCCTGTCTGTACCAAGGTGCGGACTTTCAGTAACAGGGATAGGAGGAAGTGTGAATGGACTATTAAAGCGTCACCACACTTGTATTACACTGAGAACCAAAATTGCCTCTGCTGTAGTGGAAGACGGTACTTCCACTCACTGCTTTCACCAATCTTGTCAAAGTATTTGTGAATGGAAGGTGTGGCTGTGCAGGCGGAGTCACGCGCATCCATGCCTATTATACAATTTTACAGAATTCTGCAGGAATAAGAACCCCCAGGATTCTGGTGAGGGGAGGGGGGATTGTTTATGTGGCCTGATTATTGGTGAAACATGGATGGAGTTATTCTTTATGGAAACATGTAGTGTACCATATGATTACTTAAAAAAAAAAAAAAAGCTTGCCGGACCGTCATGCAGATCTTTTTGGGTTCTGATTTCGTACACAGACCAGGAATTCAGTTGCTGCATCTGAGTCATGACTCAAAGAATATTCAAACCAAATGATTGGCATGACAGCCAAGCATGTAGCATTTGCAGATGGAAGATAACAATAGCAGCCTATGCATTTCTTTCATGACAGTTCTTTAAAGTGGACCTGTCATGAAAATGCACCCGAATCAGTAGAGCACATATCAGCATTACAAAATCAAATTATTATTATTTTTAATTTTAAAAAAAAAGTACCACTTGCTTAGCTTGAACAAAATGCTGCTCTTAAGCTGTCTAGGCAGCCTAGGTCAAATGGTCTCTGGCTACCAATCTTTACTGCAGATAATCTTTTGTTATTTAGCAGTGAGATAACAGTATCAAAACTGCCTCCTCGTATGCAGATAATTACAAGCTATAAACAATACATGCTATATTAGCAATCTAGGTTTATATTCAGAGCTGTCCTTTCCTTAATGCAAGATTGAAATAAGAAGGTAGATTCTAAATCAGAGGTAGCCAACCTCGCCACCCCAGCTGTTGTGGAACTACAAGTCCCATGAGGCACTAAAACTCTGACAACCACAGGTATGGTATGACTCCCAGTGGCAGAGGCATAATGGGATTTGTCCTTTCACCACAGCTGGAATACCAAGGTTGCCTACCTGTATTCTACATTTTTTCTATAGGTAACCCACCCTGCAGTTTCATCTTGCAAATGAACAAAGACGTGATTGGTTGCTATCGGATGCAACTGCAACGTTGCTTCAATGTTCTTTGTTTTGGGTCATAAATATGCGCTACCTACCTCTGCCCACAACCACCAGGACTGTATTTAACATAATGCTATTCATGGGCAGCAGGGTTATATTAAGCAGCACCATACCCCATGTTGTATAAATCGTGATACAACGTTCACTAATTGGTTTCCCTCTTCTGTCCATCTTTGGACATTTTGAAGCTAAACTCGGCAAGAGAACTGTAGAAGGAGGGGTGCAGAGGATGGTGAGAGGAGTCGGGAGGCTGAAATCAATATGAAATCGGCTCTCCTTTTTTTGCTTGATGATCTATGCAGTTGATATGCATTTCTGTGTATACTGTAAAGCGGATTCTATAGTCTCTCCAATGGTCGGTTTCGGGAGTGATTTTTACTAGTATAATTGCATGACAAGAAATTGAGCCTTTCCAAAAAATACATCATCATTCAGGTGTGCTTAGGGCAGCTTGTGTGTGTATATATACAGCCATGCCCCCCACACCCAACAAATGACAGGCATTTTTAACTTAAGTTTTACTCATCTTGCTGCAATCTCCATAATGACAAATAATTGCAAGTACCAAACAAAATTACAGAGATTAGTGCAATACCCTTGCAATGGCCACTGTAGAACACAGATGTGGAGATTTCTAGGGCCTCAGAAGTTATAAGAAGCCTGTGGGTGACCACAATTGAACCAAAACCTACCCTCTGATTTATTAATAATGCAGTGCTCTAATTGTTATCCTCCCGACTGTTTGCCATTTATATCAATGTATTCATCATCTCAGTACTCTGTGGTTATGTCTTCTTATTGGTCTACTGCAGGTACCACTCAGAGTAGGTCCCAGAGCCACAGCAGTGGAGATTTTGGTTTGCATCATGACAATGAAGTGTGGTCCGGCAGCAGTAGTCCAGTCCAGTATTTTGGCCAGCGTTTGAAAAAGTCTGCTGCATCCAGCCCCATGCTGAGACTCAGATCATGTGATGGAGCAGAATGCCTTGCCCAGTCGAAGAAGAGGCTAGGGTCACCAGGAAGTGAGATGGTCTCCCTCAAGCAATTCTTAGAAGAAAGCAGCAAGCTCACTGTAAGCCAGGTGAGTTGGAGAGTTTGCCCTTGGTTGTATTCAAAAAGGTAATTGGGAAAAAGATACGCCTAATCCATTTAACATTACTTAAATTACTGAATTCTATATCTACATACATTATTCCTTGTAGTATATCGCAGTTGACACAGATTAAGATCCACTTAAATAACATTGGCAGATACAGTATGTGTTGATGGATGCGGACTTAGACATTAAAGACAGAGACCCTAAAAGAGAGGCCATGACAGACATTATTAATACACTTTTTAAGTTTCAGGAGTTATTTTATTAGACTATAATATTATCATAGAAAAATACAACATGCAAAATTACAATTTTTTTTTTATAGGACTAAATCTCTTTTTATTTTTATTTTATGCAAAACTTTTATAGGTTGTGTCACTGCCAGATTTCTTGCTGAAAATTGCATTTTGCTGCTGGTTAAAACATGTTTAGGGTATGGGGCAGCTATGTGGCAAAAGTGAGCCTTCATTTTTGCCACACAGCTGCCCCATACCCTAAACATGTTTTAACCAGCAGCAAAATGCAGTTTCAGCTTTTGGGTGTTATGTAATTTTATATTAAAAAAATATATATATATTGGTAATTTGCGATCACACAGCAATGCATACAGACATGGACAAATTTGTTGGTACACTTCCACGAATAGAACCAACAATTTTCTATGAAATAACTTGAAGCTAACCAAACGTAATTGGCATATATCATTGTTTATTCCATATCTAACAAAAAATAGACTTTGTTTTTAATTCAGCAGAATATTTTAAATAATTATTTAATGAATTAAATGAAAATTGGACAAAAATTATGGAAAAAGTAATGAATGGTCAGATCAGACACTAATGTACCTTGATCTTGGAGTTTAGCTTTGGAAGTTTTTCTCGGTCCTATGTCTACCATTCGCACTATACTTCTGTTCAATTTGGGGTACATTTTCCATTTGTGGCCATGTCCAGGGAGCCACAAATCTGCAGCATTTAAAAGGTAAGTTGTTATGTAGACTAAACTTCTTCTTTAAAGTTGGTACTTAAAGCACATGTCCAGCAAACTGCTAAATAAACAGTTTAAAATATGTATACAATATGTAAGCTCTTTGACTTCCTAAAGAATTTGTAAGTATGTTGTTTGTTTTTCTTTTAAATAAATATTCATGTCATTTTATTGGTATCTATCTTCATTTTGTACATTTACCAGTAGCTGCCTCATTTCCCACCCTAGGCTTATACTCGAGTCAATATTTTTTCCCAGTTTTTTTTGTGGTAAAATTAGGTACCTCGGCTTATATTCGGGTCGGCTTATACTCGAGTATATACGGTAGTCTTGCGATTCACAGACCTCAGCCACACTGAATACTCAGAAAGATGACTCCATTTATTTTTCAGCATACTGTGTCACCTACGTACTTAATGCAATGCAGTCTGTGTTTGCATACTGTATGCTGCCCCAAGTTTGTGGACATCCAAGGTGTGATGGAGCTTAATTTAGTCAAACAGAAGGCATGAAACAGCGTGCATAATGTCAAGTTTAAATGTCAGTTCCTTTATAATGTCTCTTGTACCAGCCTATAAGTCATATTAAAATAGATAAACACCTGTTGCTTCCCATGTTTTATTTTTTGTAGATTCGGTCTGGAAGCCAGGAAAACCTTCTAGACGAAGTCATGAAAAGTTTGTCTGGCTCCATTGAATTATCAGGATTACAGTCTCCTTCACAGCTGTCTCCTGGCCTAGCAATGGGTGACAGAAAGACTGGAAAAACAGAGCAGTGTGCACGACTCAACACTCGGAAAACAGAGGAGAATATGCGATTCACATTCCCTGTAGGGACGGTCACACAATCCATAGATGGAGACACTGCTCTAAGTCCAGGAAGTGTGTGTACACAACGACAAACAACTAAAGAGCCCAGCCAATACGCCACCTTACCTCGTGCTAGCAGTGTTATCTCCACTGCTGAGGGAACCACACGTAGGACAAGTATTCATGATTTTTTATCCAAAGACAATAGGTCACCTGTATCAGTTGATCCATCTCCGACACGGGAAGATGCTCCATCTTTATTGAGTGAGTACAGTGAAGTCAAGCAGTTGCCTAATGTTCTCTCCAGCAGACCCCTTTCATGTATGGTTAACAATGATCCTCAACATTGTTCAGGTTGTGATGTTGTTCGCCATAGCAAAAGTAGCATATCAGATGGGACTAATATCATATCCTACACTTCACCATGCATGTCTTGCCCCTATCTCTCACTCAACCCTAATTTGGTGAGTAGCATCAGTGGACCACCAGGAGATAGACAGTATAGTGTTCCATCTACTCAATGGCAAGATTGTTCAAAGTCCAGTAATTGTGTACTAAATAGAAATGAATGTACTGACCCCCACTGTTTACATAGTGGTGAAGCAGAGTCTACCTTACTAGTGTCAGAAGATAATCAAAGTATTTGGTATGAATATGGTTGTGTTTGATTTTAGAACAATGGGGAATGGTTATTGTTGTCCAAAGCATCCTATTCATCTGTAGTATGACACAATGATGAGTCTGATTTGCTATGGGTAACAATCCTTTCCTCCTTTAGACACTTTCTGCCTTAAGATCCATTGTTAGAAGACAGTGGATCAATACTCAGATATCATAAGGAGGTGATTGTAGGAATCAGACATTTTTTTCTGCATGAAACACCTATCCTTGTGTCCATTCAGCATGCCTTATCCCAGCTGTGTGCTAACATGTGGCAGAATAAGTGATACTCAACCTAAAGCTGTCAGAATATGAGACGTTCTTTTTTTTTTTTCAAATTATTAATGTTATCTTACCTGATCCCTTGCAGATGCACACATTAAATGTGCTGGAATAAATTATACCTGTATACCCAGCGACAGGATGTACAGAGCTGGATTTTGAGTAACCCATACAGACACATGAGCCTGATAACCTTCACATCCATTGATCAAATATTCTTTAGTTTCACTGCTGTACATGTACCACATGCAACAGTGCCACTGTTCACAATTCATAGACGTTTTTTTGCATGATATGTAGCACCTACCTATACTGTGCCAGTTATATCCTTAAAGCATATCTGAGCTCAAAAAGAAAAAATATATATATTGCAGCTTACCAGTCCTTAGGTTTGGTGGCTTTATTCATTTATTTTTTTACATTTTCTTGTCCTTTATTTTCACTTGGTAATACTGTGGATAACACGCCTCCTGTCCCTGGGTGGCTACTATCTCTCACACCATTGTATTTACTGTATGGAGGGAGCCATGGTTGTCACCCAGGCTTGACTTTATATCTTGCCCTTGCTCTTCAATTCCAAAAAATGAGGGGTGGCGTTTAGTAGTTTGCAAAAGAAAGATAACATTGTATTTGCAGTTCAGCGTTACAGGAAAAAACAAGGACACTACATTTCTGGCAAGATCAGCAATTATTTTGAGTATGACTAATGAAAATTAATGCCACCAACTATCGCATCTAAGGATTGGTAAACTGCAATATATTACAGTTTTGTTCTTGGGATTAGATATGCTGTAAGGTAGAAATCCCCCCTGTTCTCCTTGGTATCATAGTGCTGCACTTTTTTAGCATGCTCAATACAAGTTGCTTCCAACTTCTAAGTATCTGCAAATATCTGTGTGCAAAATGATCACTAAGACCTTGTTTTGGTCTGTGAATTATAAGAAACCTCTACTAGGAGAAATATGTAGGCTGCCAGTTCTGACTGGCTGGTTAGCTGATAATCTAACTTCAGTAATTCCTGAGTCACTAACACAGATGTATGCAGAGTCACTTTACTGGCTACATAGCTGTTCTGGATCATTGCCAGCACCACCGTTTTCATAAAAGTATTTCCTTCACCCAAAGGAACAATGTTTACAAACGGCACTTGTGGGGTTCCCCTCCTAGTCCTACTCCAGTGATCTACATATAGCATTTTAGGAAGACCCATTTTACTCCATTCACTCTAAGAAACCCCTGCCTTTTGGAATATAAATCTTAGCTAAGTCACAGTATAAGTCTGTGTACAAGAAAAACAAATGCGTAACAAAACAAAGTGCTAAGAAAAGTGGTCTCTGAGCGTAGTGTTAGATCTGTCCTTCAGACTGTACCACAGGTCAGCAGAATACTACCTATTATTAAGCTCAGAACAGATGTTACAATCTGATTGTGTAATTTCCTTTAGATCTACCAACAAGTCTGTAGTGCAAAGTGCTGCCTAATTGACTACAAATTCAGTGGATAGCTTAGGTAGGTCCTCATAATACAGGTGAAACTCGAATAATTAGAATATCGTGCAAAAGTAATTGCAGTAAGTGCTGCAAAAGGGGCCCAAACCAAGTACTGAGTACATATGCATGCTTGTACTTTTCAGAGGTCCGATATTGTTCTATGTACAATCCTTGTTTTATTGATTGCATGTAATAATCGACTTTTCTGAGGTTGTGGATTTGGGGTTCTTGGGGTTTTCATGAGCTGTAAGCCATAATCATCACAATTATGACAAATCACGGCTTGAACTATCTTGCTTTGCATGTAATGAGTCTATCTCATATATTAGTTTCACTTTTTAAGTTGCATTAGTGAAATAAATGAACTTTGCACGATATTCTAATTATTCGAGTTTCACCTGTACATAGTTTTGGTAGATCAAAAGTTGATTTTGACATTGTAAAGTCAGATTATAATATATATGGTGAGCCTTTGGTGCAAGTGCTGTCGGTGAAGCATTGCATACTAGCTCAGTCCACAAACCACTCCAGATTGTGTCGATATCCTGCGGTGCTTTGTGATCGTGCATACTTATAATGGGTTTTACTATGATCAACTGACATTTTAAAGAAGGAAAAAGAACAGATCAGATTTTGGGGTGCAGCAAAGATACCAACAAATAGAGTTTTTCATTTAAATAATCATTTATGTGAGGTCGGTATATTGGACCATCTTTTTGTGAACGAGAATGTCATTAGGCAACTAGACCCCCATAAATGCTAAAATAATAATCTGATTATTTGTAATGAAGTTCTTTTGTTTTAATGTTCTGATGTTAGTGTTGAGTACAACTGTTCTGTCAATGTGCGTGTTTTTTTATGAATGTTTATGTGCATGGTGTTGAATACACTAGCCGAAACCAGCATAGATCTAGAGGAGGAGACATACATAAGCTGAAGTTTTGTGCTGTGAAAATAAGATGGTTACCATTCAGAAAAAACTGTTTTGTTCTATATATTTTGATCCTTCCTTCAGTTTTGGTGATTTAATCTTCTGCATGGAAAAAAGCTGCAACAGTGATATTAAATTTTAGGGTGAAAAACAATAAAATATATGAAGGAAAAGTATACTTTTGTATGTATTTTTATAAACTTTACAAACTTATGCATTATAAAAATTAATTTTAATATATAGGGTAACGTAACCCTTCTGTAAATCAAAGGGTTATTAGAAGCCAACAAAATATAACTACACATGGCTGCGGGCCCCGAACTCCAAGGTGAATCTTTAATTTATTGATGAGGATACATTATTTCATATGGCACATGAACACTGACAGATTCCTACTGTAATGGCAAAAGATCATTGCACTTCAAATGTCTGTTTTACTGATGCGTGCAATTCTTTTGGTGTTCAATGGTGGGGCTAAAATAAAATTCAGACTGTCCAAACTGTTTATACAGAAATATCGGACCTTAACAGTGGGGGTGTAATGTAAGAATAATCCTCCTTGACATCTGAGCACAAATATTTTTTTTACTAGCGCTAATTTAAAATGTCAGTCCAGCCAAAAAGTGATATTTTCAGTAGAGTGGGGTCGGTTATATCTTGGATACTCTAACGGTGAACTGCCATAATTATTAACTCTTTTCCTGTCTACCTGGTATCTTTGGGTGTTTGCATTCTGCATAATACAAAATAAGCAGGGCTATTCGCGAATAGGTGAAGAGTTTGGAGAAGGCAGCAGAAGTGAACAATCTAGGACAAAATAGCTGATTTGGAAAAATTCTCCCATTCAGCTCTTTTTCCACTTCAGCTATGTTGTCCTAAATTGTTCCCTTCTCCTGCCTTCTCCAAACCCTTCACTCTTTTGTGAATAACTCTGAAAGAATCCAAAACAGACACTGGGATCCCTTCATATTGACCTCCAGTTGGTGTGCAGTGTCAGGAACTCCAAGAAATTTTACCGCTAGAGGCAACAAAAGACATAGGAAACTGTCAGGTGATTAATCCTCCAGCATCTATCTAAACTTAGTTTTGTGTGGACTGACCATTCAAATCAGGGGTAGCCAACATTTGGTCCTCCAGCTGTAGTGAAACTACAAATCCCATAAGGCTTTGCAAGACTCTGACAGCCACAGACATGAATTCCAGAGGCAGATCTAGAAGTTTCGTCACAGCTAAAGGGCCGAAGTTACCCCTGATTAAAAACAATCTTTTTCATGCTATAATTTTTGTAAACCTACAAAAGGAGTATGGAAGTAGACAATTTGATGCCTTGCCTACCTCTTGCCTTGCTTTTGGTTGTTAAGTTGGCCCTTCACATTTAAGAACAAGTAGTGAGGTGCTCTACTGCAGATCGGTATTTAGTGTCCCTGGTTTCATGGGTATTGGGGCTCTTAAGAAGTTAGAAGGTACATGCTGGGTACCTGCTTTACATTGCTTTTGCAGGTTACAAATGTTATTGTTTGGGAAGGATTGTTTTAAAAATAACATACAGTATATGGTGTGCAAAATCAAAAGATGGTAGTGGAGGGACCACAGAGACTAGCAAAGTAGTTTAGAATTTTGTGACCTATCAATTTGTTTATAAGGTTTATAATCGGATTGTACAGGAAACAACTATGTATTGTGAGGGTCTCCTGATTGGATATAAATGGAATGGATCATTTAGGTAAGCCATCCCCCTACATAGTTGTTGCTAAATATAAAAGAGGTTGTAAAATCAGATTGTAAAGTGTAGCCAACATTAAATGGTATAAGTAAAATCTAGACCTGTTCAGTAAAGTGGTGGGAGAGGGTATAGTGGTACTATCACACTTATCAACGAGTTAAAAATACCTTCTTTACTGCTTTGACTACAGTAAATGGAAATCTGATTGGTTGTTGTGGGTCACTGTACTTTCTGCATTACCACGACCATCTGTGTCGTCTTACTGAATAAGTCTACTTTTCATAAATCATACACAGGGTTTGATTTATGAAAAGTGTGAAAAAGCAAGTGGAGCTGCTCAAACTGACCAATGTTTTCATTTTATACCTTAGGACAACTATACATGTAATATTTTGGGGTCAGTAAATGTGATTACATGTACCATTGCCTGTGCAAATGTTTACTGAATCATATATGCCCTGCAGCTTGCCAAACCCATACTCACTCTGGCTGCTATATACATGCATGATGAGCCAAACATAGCTCCTATGTCATATCAGGGGAGGGGCATGCATGATATTATTTATGGTATCTCCCTACATAAACATAGTTCATTGCTTTCAAGATGCGTATGGTACAAATATTATAGCTGCACGTGAAGTAAAAGAGCTATAGATTCTATTAACTTTGATTAGTCAAGAGCAAACATGGAACTGAGGCTCACCTCCTGCTGAGGTGTTATGTCTCTCAGTGTGCCTTTCTAGCCATGGACATGTGGGCCCTGTACAAGATGTCAGCTGATGTCAAGATGACAGCTTGTTTTGGCTTATAGCTTACGGTTGTACCTATTTCCGACACAAATTTGGCCTAATTTAAAAAGGGTTTTGAGGGAAAGTCTTCTCAGATAGACTTTGTTGCGCAAGGGCCAGTCAAATTTTTTCTTTGAATTTCTTTTTTCAGAAGAAGAAACTGGTTGTGTGACAGCACAGACTATCTAAGACAAATCTTACCTCGGACACTTAAATATACACAGCCCACCAACTGATGGAAGTCATTTCACTGGCTGGCCATACCATGCAATGTTAATATAACCACCCCTATAGAAATACATTATGTTCCAAAAGGGGCTGGCCATATCAGGACTGCTCCCCCATCCCAAATTGGAGTGTATGGAGAATACACTGCAGCCCTGACTGTCATAGTAGAACCACATGTGGGGGCTAGTAAAGACAATGTTGGGATTAAAACCATTCCCCTCACTATCCAAAAATGTAAAGTGAACCTGTTCTGACACTCAAATATGTGCATATTCTGGACAAGCAGTAAAATCACTTTAAAACAAGCCCCTGTTGGCCTCTGTAGCTATAGGCATTGTGGAGAAATGTATCTTTAATTTTCACAACAGAGGCTTTGAAATGTCAGCTATGTTTATGGAGAGCAGATCTTGGCAGCCTGCCAACCTTCTAATGTAAACACAGCACATGTTTCTCAGTCATTATAATGTGACTGAGACCTGACTTCAGAGTCCTTGTTTTGTTCTTTGAAGATCTTTGAGAATGAATTACTTCACAGTACATACAGCTAGAGAGGTCAGGGATAGCTTGTTTGGAAACGTATTTACTGTTTGTTAAGAATATGTAAATACTTTGATATGTATAGCCTAGGCATAGGTGCACTTTACAAATGGTTACGCCTCTACTTTAACACCTGGTATTTCATGCATACTGGGGAGATCAGAGCTGTCCTTTCTTGTTATTAGCTCTGATACTTATAACTCTTAATAGACACTGTCCTGTGTGCACATGCATTTCCAGGTATTAACATAAATCTGCCATTCGAGAAATAAGGGGCCCCACTGCTGATATCTCATGCTAGTTCACTGGCTGTTATGTTAACTAGTTGCCATTACTTTCGGAGTCTCTGACCCAGAAGAGGAGGAGGGTCAGCATGACCGCTAAGCGATTAGCATTTTCAAAATTAAAGCTCAGCAATGGCAGCCTCTGTGTCTGTCATGACAGGTTTCCTTTAGACTGCACCTCTGTTTGACACAGTTATCTACCCATCTGAATGAACCCTTTATCTCTGATTTACAAGCATCTGTGCCTTTGCCAACTTTTCAAAGTACTAAACCAGCTTTTCTCCTGCAGATGTGGAGGCAACACCAGAGATCAGGCTTTCAAAAAGCAGGTCTAGGGAGCAGCAAATCCCTTAATTTAGTGACCCTGTTCAAGTGATATCCCAAGTGGTGAGTTCCTGCCCGCATTGTAAATGAGGCTCTCTTATCCTAATTTACAAATGGCTTTCAACCGACCATGAGATGCGGCTTACTGCTTTTCATTTCATCATTTGCTCGCTGCATGCTTTACTCTCCATTTCCTTACTGCAAATGTGATGTGTGCAAACCAGCTGGACAGAGAAGACTATGTGCAGTATATCTGTAGATATGAACAATGGCGAGGGAGCCTAGCGAGAGACATAACATGGCTCACTGCAGAAAATGGATGGTCAAAAGTGTAACTCCACCTTTCTGACAAACATGATGTTGTGAGGAAAGACAGTGCAACTATCAGCTTTGGAAATTATTGTAATATTTATTATTGTGCTTTCCTGTACAGAGTTTTTAAATATCAAATAGATTGGCCAATAATTGTTTGTGGACAGTTTTATGTTGTTAAAGCCCTTCAGCAGGCAATTTGTTATGTTGTTTTTGCCTATAGTAGGGAAGAGTTAAATTGTCTATTTTTAACCCCATTGATGAGATTTTACCTTATTTCCCATCCTTAAGAGGACCATACAAGAAATGGGGGTGCAAGTGTCAGCAGGAGAGGAAAGCACAAACAGCAGTTAAAAAACATGTTGGAGGCTTGAACCTTTCCCAATTGGAGAGATTTCCCACCCCTTCCTCTCAACAGAAAGTAAGAGGTAATCTCCCTAAAAGGGGCAGGTGTGGCAAGAAAAACCTGACAGAGGTTTCCATACTCTATCCAAAATTGAATACAACATTTTCACTGGAATTGGGATTTAAAAAAAACTAGTATTAGCAACAAGGGACTTCAAATATAAAAGCTAATCAAACCTAAAGTATGTGTTGGGTTGGTGTGGGAAAATTCAGTCACATAACTGTAGGCACTTGCAGGTGCATACCAAAGCCGTGTCAAAAAACCCTTAGCAGCATCTAGGAAGCCCCTGAATCTATCAGTGAAGGATAGGCATGGTCCCAGAGTCTCATTCCACAATGCAATGCTCCTGTCCAGAGACTAGACTAGAGCATGGCCAGGGGCACCTGATGGTTGGTTGGTGTGGTTTTGACTTGTACTAGCACCTTATGGAGCATACAGTAATTTGACATTTTTTTACATACATTTTTTGTTGCTATACCAAACAAATTATTGAGGCTGCCATAACTAACCTCTACTGGTTGCTTGACTGACATGCTGATCCAGTGTCTTCAATAATATCTGAATCACTGCCCTGCAACAAGCCATACAGTTCAGTTCACTCTTACCCCAGCTGATGCTTGCTCAAAATATTAAAGCCAGAGACAGCCAGGCAACTAGAAGTCGGTTAGCAATGGAAGCCTTCTCTTTTAATACATAATTTCTTTACAGAAACTCATGTTGCCCAATCAGGCAAAGGCCCTCTAGAAAGTCTCTTTAAAGCCCAAAAGCCCACCTCCTGACCCACTTAGACTTGCTTTCCCCATGCCACTCTGGGAGCCAACTCTATGTAAGCTCCCTGTCAGATGATGTAGGAGCTTACACTGGGTTGATGCCGCAGCCAATGTCCTGAAATGACAGTTTTTGGGCCTGGCAGTGGCGTATCAATGAGTGGGTTTTGAAGACAATCTGTTACTTTGCCCTGGATAGCCCTTGTCTTGAAATTTGTTTTACATTGGTTTCCATGAATTTCCCAACTATATTGATCCATGACTTCCAGTACAGGTTTGTAAAAGCTGATTATTATACTGCTCTCTCTTACATTAACAGGTGTACCAGAAAGGTGGTGTTATGATTAATGTATCTTGATCACTGTCTATGATCATTACTGAAGGATATTTTGCTGCACAGTAAACCTCAACTTTTCCTAGTGTTGTACACTGATACTATTCTAGGTCATAGCATAGTATAAATGTGTTTCATTTTGCATAGATATTCAATGAGAAAGATCTATGCTGTGTACCTTCTGCCTTTCTGTGAATTTGTCATGTCAATTTTGAGAAATCTAATTTAGTATGTATCTCTATGTAACAGCTCCCATTAAAACAAAAGTCCATCATAACACATAGGACATCCCATTACAGATACAGTATGTGCGGCACAATCATTCTGCTCAGTTATACAATAATTGTTCTACACCTGCGTAGACGTAAAATACTGTGGAATAAAAGCAGCAACGTTGTCTTGTAGTGGTTAAGAGAACTGTTTAGAGCCAAGTCTACAAATAACCTCCAACAGTCTCTAGACTTTCTAGGAAATACCAGACTTGCCAGATTATACTTCTGTCTGTCCTATGTACACGTGATGTTCATGTTTAGGTTCACACTAGCATTAGCCTTAAAGTAAAACTCCAGTTTTTTTTTTTGTTTTTTTTTT